GTTAAATGTTTAGTTTATAAACTATGACATTTATAAATGTATAAATCATTTGGTGAAAAACTCACTTTGAAAAATTAATCTGTTCTTTTATTTCTTATAAAAGTCTAAATAAAACAAAAATATTGGTGGTAATTTTTGTCTGTATAACTTTACAAACGGCACCTCACACTCATGCTGCGCCAAAAGATGTTGATGCATTTGAGGGCGGCGGCAGGTAAATTTCGTCTTCTGCCCCCCCATCATGAAACGGATCTGAAGCTTGACAAGCCCGTAGGGAGGAGGTGCTCAGAGGTCCCCCCCCCCGTGTATTAATATCATCACGTTTCCAAGCAGAAGTGTGCTGATTGAAGTTTTAGGCCCGCTGTCATGTGATGTAACAAAGCAAGAAGTTTGCTGTACAGTGGTCTGTTTACACACAGCTCAGAGCTGATGTTTCATTTGTCATGGATTTCCTACAACATTCACTCACTCTTGCAGTGTTTTTAATTGACAACCCACTGGGGATCGTGAAACACCAAGGGAGTGTRGATTTCCCGATATCCATTTACTCCTAAATATAACTGCTAATTGCATGTTTTCACAAAGAGAACAAAAAGGTAATCTCATACTATTAAAAACAGCATTATGCTGGTGAAGAATGACTGTGTAAACATGCCCTTGCTTAATAGGATTATGAGTAATATTTGTAGCTATATTTCAAACCATCAACAGATGGAGTCACAAGCCCTTTTCACTCGTTTGTTGTGGGGCAAAAACACTTGCAGCCCATCTGTTTTCTCTCCATGRTTAGTTTCAAATATACATGTGTTGAAGCAGGGCCGGCCCTAGACATTTGGGGGCCCGAAGCAAGATCTGTTTTGGGGGCTCTACTTCACCAAAAGTACACCGTAAAAGTTACGCAAAACTATATGCTTTATGTGGTTATAAACCCGGTGCAGAACATTTGACCTCTAAGAACACAGTGTACCATAGTTTACTGAATGATCTGAATCAATGATGCTCAGTGTTGAAACTTTTAATATGAGATTAACTTTGCTTTGACTACTACAGGATTCCAAACTTAAAGTTTAAATAAATATATATGATGCCAATTCAACAGAATAAAAAAGATTATAGTATGTTGAAACATTTATTTTCTAAATTATAACTGGTAACAACATAGATAAAACATTGAATACACATTCAAATCTTAACATGAAAAAGTATTTACAAAATGTAAGGCTTAATAAATGCATTAAGCATTTAGAGAAAAATGCATTAATTTTAAAAGTTATAATGAAAAAATATGGAAATATATTATTTAAAACAACATCTAAAAATCTGGAACACCAGAATTAAAACCTTAATTGTGGGTCTTCTTGATTTTTGGAAGCAAAATCAGCCAAACTGTCATAAATCTGACCTCCAACCTCATTTGAAGAATTCGAAGTCTCTGTGAACATCTGCAGGAGCTCTGCAGACTCTGTCAGCTCACACCTGTTCAGACAGATGTYYGGACCATGGAGCAGGATCAGCTGGTGGCTTTCATCATCGGTTACTGTACCACTGCATTCAAAGAGTAAAATCAGTTCAAGTTTTCATTACTTCTGTGCACAAAATTCAGTTTCCCAAGAAAGGCAACTTCTCACACTGGTGGGGGGTCTGGGGGTTGTCCCCCAGGAAATTTTGATTAAAATAGATGCTGTTTCATGCATTCTGGAGTATTTTAACAGGTTGCTAAACATATTAAAGTAAACACTTGATTTCACGACTATTTAGTATGAATGTTTGAATCATCCTGGTTTTAAACTCACTGCTGGCCGAGATCAGGAAATCACTGTGATAATTTATCAAATGAGTTTAGAGTTCCATTTTACTTTTTTTGTCTGTTTTTGATTCAGTTTTATTTGTAATTCCTCAGTGATTCACAGGTGTACACCCGGCACCGCGTTCTCATGGTGCGTTTACAGACAACTCGGAAAAATGTGTTACCGCATCTTAATAGCAGATTAAACAGTTGTAAAGGTAAAAGAAAGTGCGGGGGACAGAGGGCACAGATATGGAAAGTGAGGGGGACATGTCCCACTCGTACCTCACGTCCATTACGCCCGTCTCAGTGTTAACTCTACGGTCAGTTCAGTTTGCCATGCTTCTGTCTCGGGGCCCCCTAGTGGCCACAGGGCCCTAAGCTGCCACTTAATTCGCTTATAGGCAGGTCCGGCTCTGCCCGCCACACAGAGGAGGCAGATTCAAGAAAAAATGCATTAGCCCTTATAAAGCACATTTCTAAACACTCAAAGACAGAACAACGTTCATGTATAATTCATCCACACAAACACATTCACATGCTGATGTTGACAAACTACACAGTAGCCACAGCTGCCCTGGGTCATACTGACAATACTGGCACCACCAGCAGACCCTGTGATGACCACCTGACCCACTGACCACCACCAGCAGACCCTGAAACCACCACCAGCAGACCCACAGACCACCACCAGCAGACCCTCTGACCACCACCACCATCAGACCCTCTGACCACCACCAGTAGACCCAAAGACCACCACCAGCAGACCCACAGACCACCACCAGCAGACCCACTGACCACCACCAGCAGACCCACTGACAACCACCAGCAGACCCTCTGACCACTACCACCAGACCCTCTGACCACCAGACCCTCTGACCACCACCAGCAGACCCACAGACCACCACCAGCAGACCCACTGACCACCACCAGCAGACCCACTGACCACCACCAGCAGACTCTCTGACCACCACCAGCAGACCCACAGACCACCACCAGCAGACCCACTGACCACCAACACCAGACCCTCTGGCCACGAGCAGACCTTCTGATCACCAGCAAGACCTCTGACCACCAGCAGACCCTCCACCAGCAGACTTTCTGACTACCAGCAGACCCTCTGACCACCAGCCGACCTTCAGACCATCACCAAGACCTCTGACCAGCAGCAGACCCTCTGACCACCAGCAGACGCTTTGACCACCAGCAGACCCTCTGACCACCAGCAGATACTTTGACCACCGTCAGACCCTCTGACCACCAGAAGACCCTCTGACCACCAGCAGACCCTCTGACCACCAGCAGACCCTCTGACCTCCAGCAGGCCTTCTGACCACCAGCAGACCCTCTGACCACCAGCAGACCTTCTGACCACCAGCAGACCCTCTAACCACCAGCAGACCCTCTGACCAGCAACAGAACTTCTGACCACCAGCAGACCCTCTAAACACCAGAAGAATCTCTGACCAGC